CGTATGGATCGGTTGGACATCACATGAAGACTGAATTTGAAGACCAAATGAAGAGTCCATCAAATGATCAACAAATGAGACCAACGGATGAAACACTAGAAGTGAATCAAAGTATTGATGATAACAACAATGGCGTGAATGAAGACATGTTTTCCATCAATGGTCTGGAGTTGAGAACAGTTATCAAAGAAGAACCCGAAGATTACTCTATGGAACCGATTAATACACAACTCATTAATAAATCCTCAATAAGTTTAATGAATACAGAAATGCAAACACAAGTGAACAGCGCTTCAAAGCCATCGACTTCTCAATCATCACAACAATCGGTGGTAAACATAGACTTGAATGAAGAGAGTAGTGAAGACTCGATGGAAATGACATCAAATGAATCGATGTCTCAATTGTTGGCACAAAANTGAATGAAGAGAGTAGTGAAGACTCGATGGAAATGACATCAAATGAATCGATGTCTCAATTGTTGGCACAAAATAAGTCCGAAAGAGAGACATGTTTTGACTTTACTCTCAATTCATTTATTTGTCCCATAAATAAGTGCCACAAAAGTTTCCAAAAGGATATCCAATTTCAACAACATTTTCGGAGAACTCATACCACAAAACAATACATGTGTACTCATGAGGGCTGTGGTAAAGGCTTTAAAACAAAGTACAACTTAAGACAACATCTATTGGTTCATAAAAATATCAAATCATTTCAATGTCCACACAATGGATGTGAATATAAAGGCATTTCTAATAACTATTTGAAAATACATTTGAAGACACACTCGACTGGAATTAAAATCTTGAGATGTGCTGTCAGTGGATGTGATTATTACAGCTGTAATTATAGTTGTTTTAAAGATCACAGAAAGAAACACAAAGGGATTGATAAATCATTTCAATGCCATTATATCGGCTGTCAATATAAATGCGTTAACAAAAGGTTATTGACATCACATATGAAGACACACTCAACAAACAGAAGTGATATCTCAAGACACCGCGTGTGCACTCATGAGGGCTGTGGTAAAGCCTTTAGGACAAAGTCCAACTTAAACGCACATCAATTAACCCACAAAACAGATAAACCATTTCATTGTCCACACAATGGCTGTCAATACAAAGCCGTTTCTAAACGCTATCTTAAACAACATCTGAAGTCACACTCAACAGTCATAACAGATAGAGTGAACACATGTCCCTTTAGTGACTGTCAGATGGCATTTAAGTCGATGAATGAGTTGAATGTCCACCGCTTGACACACGTGTCCGGACCGGCCATCAAGTGTGGGACCAAAGGCTGTAATGAAATGTTTTATACGTTTTCGCAACGCCTGAGACATCGGGTGTCGGTTCACAACCGACGGACGTATAGCTATCGCAGAGGAAAACAATGGTTTGAATGGAACGGAAAAATAGAGACACAAGAAGTGAATGAAGACATGTTTAACAACTTGTATGACAGCAATGGTCTGGAGTTAAGAGCAGATATCAATGAAGGATCCTGTGGTAAATCTACGGAACCGATGAATACAACGAAACAGACACTATTGAACATCATTTCAAAGCCATCGACATCTCAATCATCAGAACTGGAGGTAATCGATCTCATTAGTGAAGACTCGATGGAAATGCCATCAAATGAATCGATGTCTCAATTCTTGCGACAAAATAAGACCGAAAGAAAGAAATGTCTTGATTTAACCACTGATGCATACATTTGTCCCATAAATGAGTGCCACAAGAGTTTTGAAACGGACGCACAGTTTGCGAAACATTTGCAGTCATGTCATAGCGGAAGACAATTCATGTGCGACTATGAAGGCTGTGGTAAAGCATTTAAACGGAAGAATACACTAAACGATCACTTATTAATACACAATAACATTAAATTTTTAAATTGTCCGCAAAATGGATGTCATTTTCAAACCAATAAGAGATTTAATTTGAGACAACATATGAAGACACACTCGAGAGGACGGTTTAGTTGTGGTGTCACTGACTGTCAGATGATATTCACCACAAGACTTAATTTAAGAAAACACTGTCTATTGAATCATAATACGAATCCAACCATTGAGTGCGGAACCGATGGCTGTATTGATATCTTCTATACTGAAAGTGAACGAAATAGACATCAAATTAAGATTCACAGCAATAGAGATGATAATCAAGAAGTGAATCAAAGCAGTGATGATAACAACGCTCAGAAGAGTTATAGTCTGAGAGACTTCCGAATCAAACACCAATTCCAATGCCAACTGACAGACTGTGGCCAACGGTTTACCACTAATGAAATGCTCGCACAACACATGAATGTCCACAATTGTGTGGATCAGACAAACCGATCAATTGGTGATGACATTAACAATGAGACTGATGGCCACCTCAACGATGTCCGGGAGGCCAACACACCTAGGTCAGATTATATTGGATATAATGCGATATTCTAATGTTGATGTTACTCCACCCCTATAGATCAGGCCAACCTGGATCAATTACTTGTGTGATTTGCTCGCAGACTAAACATTATTCTTACGTTCAAAAACGTCACGGAGTGTTCAGGTATTGTGACTTACAATTGGGTATCAAATGGTGTATTAAAACCGCATTTTATTTTCATAATAGTTGTGAGAGTTGTTCAAAATTCTATAGAAAATATCTTAAACGTCCGATAAATTATTTTTGCTACCAAACCGGTCAGTATTCTCTCTCTCTCTCTCTCTCTCTCTCTCTCTCTCTCTCTCTCT